TTCAACTTTAGCGGCCTATAACTTTTGTCAGGACCACGGGAAAATGTCGTAAAGCGAGATTCTGAAGGTTCAAACATTTCTGAACAAAATGGTGTGGGTCCCAATTCTCTCTACTCCGAAAAAAAAAACTACCTCAAATAAGCGAGTTAGCGCCGGCTCTCCGCTGCACTATTAGTTGTATCCGTTGTGTTTGCCGTTGTATCGGCCGTACCTTTGCAGGAGGAGCCTAACAGTAAGTGAGATTGTACTTTTTTTTTTATTATACCTGAATCACAATTTCATTATTTCGTAGTGAATACTAGTTGTTTTTATCAGACTTCATAGCTGCCACAGTCATCTCAAACAGACCTTGATTCATGTCTATATTCAACACTTTGGTAGTTATCTAAAACGTTTAATCGATTTGCGTTACTCTTTTGAATAATTTGATTTGATTTACCTATGCCTGATACGTGATTCGTGAAGTTAGCATCGAAAATTTTTCAAAGCTCAAAAAATAGCACTAATCTATTACGTTTCATTGGCCACAGGTCCGCTAGTTCGTGGGAAACGAGCCATTTCCTGTAGAGCAGCTTCTTCGCGTCCAAACAATCCGGCCTCCTACAACGAAGCTTGTAATGCACATTGTATTTTGAATGGGAATCGAGGAGGTGTATGTGCCAGTGGCACTTGCGTTTGTTTGGGTTAATGGTTTTACCATTTAATAAGCGGTTCAATGACTTTACCTAACTAGCCATACATTTAATGTAAAAACAACAACAATAATATATGAAATTGATGATGATATACTATAGCAATGAAAATAATTTTCCTACCCCATGTTTAGCACATTACTGTCTCCCAGACTTTTCCAAACCCATCAGGAGGATGTAATTGTATTAAACCGTGAGCCTTACCAGCGCGACCCATAAATATGTTAAGGCCCAGCAAATTTTGTTTCAACCAAATTGACATTGAGGGAATAGAAAAAGATAAGAAACAAGGGACAAATACATTTAATGACTAACTTACATTGAAATCGGATGAAGACCATTGACAATTCAAAAATTCGTTTGTCGTAGAAACTTTGTTTTTTAAAAAATGTTTTAATTTGAATTTTTAAAATTTTGGGTAGCCTTACTACGTCGCTAGATAATTTGTTTAAAAAGCTCCATATCCACTGCATTGCAATCTCATATATTGATGCCTCACCAGTTCACCACCCCTGGTACTTACCGTTGGCAACTCTGGGAAAAAATACGAGCAGAGCGACCTACCTTTCAAGTCGAAACGGTGGACGTTTTGTGTAATAGGTTCTTGTGCGTGTTGGGACGTGATACAATATAATCGGGAAGAGAATTAAATAAAAGACAGAACTTTTGTGCGTAAAAAATGACAAGAACAAATATAGTATATTAAGATACAAGTGTATAATCAAGTCTTTAAAGCACGCGCAACGAGTTTAAGGGCACGACGCAAAGCGGAGTACCTTTAACGTTGCAAGTGCTTTAAAGACCAATTATACACGTGTATCTTAAAGTATTTTTTATTATACCTGCAGTATAATTTAAAAATAGGAAATACAATGAAGTCATATTGACGTTATACTCGAATACATGTCTAATTAAGTGGGCTGGGTGTTCGTAATTTCACGATTGCCATGGAAATGTCACTTGACGTTTGCTTATAAAAATCATCGTCTTTGTGAATTAAACGATTTCCGTTGAAAAAGATAATACACCGTCCATTAAATCGATTGTTGTAAAATCTAAACAAACGTTGGTAGGTGTAAAATCCAAGCCTATTATAAAGAATATGAAAAGTTGTTTCCATGGATGAATAGGAAGTTACTTACGAATACAGTCTTAAATGCATCCATAATGCTGGCATATATGAAGGAAATGTATTTAAATCTTCTATATTTTGGTGCATTCATTCAAAACTTTAAAGCAATGCTGCGATTAAAAAGTGGAACAGATTTGGAAGCATACCCTAAATTACGCGCGTTTGTGAAAGCTTCAACCAAAGGATAGGTACAAAAGCCAAAGAAATGTTCTGCATTTACAGAAAGCGACCTAAGAGGATTTTTTATTTCATCCAGATGACAGTTTCAAAAGTCATACTTGAAGTATCGTTACTTAGCAACTTTAAAGCACGTGTGTTTTAAAGGCCCTTTTTCGCACGCATTTGAGTGTTTAAAACGGAGATTGTGATTCAGGTATAATAAAAAATATATTACGCACACAAGACCATACCAGGGAAACCTTCTACGGGACAAAAACCCCGGCATAGGCCACACAAATACATGAAATAAATCACCTACAACAACGAAATGCAAGAGAACGTACAAACAAAACATGAACAACAAAATTGTATGATAAATCTCATCAGGTAATCGAATCAAATACAATTAAACAAATTCATAAAAACAAAACGTCATAAATGCAGTGGAAAACTTCACGTGAATACAAAAAAAAACCTAATAAAACAAAATAATGGCATAATCACCTGCACAGTATAACAAACAATAAACATGATTCAGATAACGGTAGCCCCTCTCTTCAAAAATCCTAAATGGAAACCCCATACTTGTGACACATCGTGGGAAAGCTACTGAAAAATGCTCTCCAGTGGTACCAATAAAGTCAATATTCATTAAGGCAATTTAACAAAAATTTAATAATTAAAAAAAACATTAAATGTTGACATTGAGGGATTTATGGCAAATTGGCCAAGAACTTCAACCTGAGCTGTTTCATTAAGCAATCTTGGTTGCTTTTTTTTATTGACTTACAGTACAGCTAAACGTGTGGAAATAATATTCATTTATGGCTCCGAAACTCGATCATCTTATAGAACAGCTAGAACGTTTAATGAGAGACATCCCGAGAGAAATGTAAGTCATGCCTATGTCCAAGATTTGGTCGCTAAATTCAAAGAAACGGGAACTGTTACAAACAATTTCAAATTTGACTTCAAAATCTAGATTCTAAAGCAAACAATGGCAACGATCAAACTCCTCGAATTCCAAAACGATCACTTACACACATTTTGAAGGCACCTGCACTAAAGTTTAGGTAAGAATCAACAAAATTAATCATAATTAAGCATGAGATATCTTCCGGGTCTGTTAAAGGGGTCGTATAAACACACGATTTGCATGATTTTACACAAACAAAATTTAATCTACACACACAAATGAACGTAAACATAAAATCCTAATGATCAAAATTGGACTACAATTCAGCGTCTCTTTGAACATACCCCGCATACACCTTCGAATACAAATTAAACAAAATCGAGAAATCCTCCAATACTTACTTACAGTTTTCGGTTACAAATCCCAATATAAATCCGGGCACACAGAAACAACGCACTTAACTAAAACGTAACGCACTAAACGTGATCTTCTTAAATTGTTTTCCAAACAGGTTGCAGAAGCGTTGATTATATTCCAAATTTGATTTAACTGGTTGAACGCAAACACACCGATGAATGGATGGCTGTCCGTTTAACGTGGATCACAACTTCAATGAAAACTGTTATCCCAAACTGTACGTACGATTTCTTCAAAACTTTAACTTGAACTTGGTTGTGATTACCATGTATTGAATTCTCTTTGACGATCAACAAAATTGTTTACACGACGAAAGGCAAAGACTTCGCCACCAAACTTTAGTAGAAACGCGCGTCTTTTAATTAAGGACAGCAACTCGGCCTCAAAATTGACAAAAGGCTTCATCCAACGAACCGCAACTCGGTCTCGCTCCGTTAACCTTGAATGAAGATATTTGAGTTTTTATTTAATCCTTTATTCCTTATCCTTAAGACCAGAATAGGGTTATTAACCGACGCGCAGCCGAGGCATATTAATATAATTACCCAACAAGAACCACACCCAACCAGAAAAAGTAGGAGAAAAAGGAAAGTTAGTAACATCCGTTACAAGGGGCAAGGGTACGTTGAATAAGCCACTTGGGGTAGGAAATCCCATCGCAGCGCTTCCAACCCTTCCCTTGATCGGTTTGCACACGAGTAACTTTAGCGCATTTTCCATGCATTGAATAGTATACTTCCCAAAAGGTAATCGATGTGTGAGGCACGTTTCTCCTCACTAGAAGCATTTGTGGTTAAAATTTCAACAAAATATATAATAAATAAGAAAGTTGATAATGCCCAGCCTACGCATGCGTCCATTTATCGTCAAGACTTTTCTTGGCTCAGGTGCCAGAGCTGTAAGCTACCGAATTCAAAAAGAACGAACTAAATATTTTGAAAACTGTATGAGTAGTTAAGACCTCGGACGGACGGAGAAAGTACTGATTAACGAGCGACCCAGCTCGTGCATGGTTTTGGATTTCTGCCCGTCCGTCCGTCTGTGTACATTATAACTCACGAACGGTTTCCAATCTTCCAATTCTGCTTTCAGTAGTAGGGAAACAACGATCAAGAGACTAGTTGATTAAATTTTCGTTATTTGGCCTTTCTCTCCGTCCTTCTCTGTCGCTCGTTGTCTATATTGGTCTGATACAGTTTATTTATACAGGTTATGTAGTTTGGACGATCACGGGACCGATATTGGAATATTATAGTCTATACAATTTTTAACGCAAAGAACGTATAAATGATAATTCGTATCAGGCCACAAAACCGATACCTGAATCATCCATGGCCCATATGAATAAAAGGAAGCATATGCTTATACTTGCAAAATTCAAAGTAAATACTCGTAAGTGCTCTTTCACACTGGGCGACTTAGCAGCGCTACTAAACAGACCAGTATGAAGGGGCACTTACGAGTATTTACTTTGAATTTTGCAAGCATATGCTTCCTTTTATTCATACGGGCCCATGTTTTTAGTATGATAGTTGTACTTTGATCAATCAAATTAAAGAATAGGAAGGTTAAGAATCTATTTCAAAATCAATTTATAGTTAAATTGATAACAAAATTTGATAACCCACTCAATGAAATAAGTTGGCAATATTTTCATAATCAAACATAACTGTTTGTAGTCGGATGTTTACATTGTTCTACGCACTTGGGTCAAAGGGGAATTGTAACATTTACATATCGGACTAAATGACGTAGGTACCTTTTAAGTATAAAAAGTGTCCATACACATTCTGAAGCCAACAGACTCGGTCAAACCATTCAATATGAACAAAATCTTCGTTTTCGTTTTAGTTGTATCCGTTGTGTTTGCCGTTGTATCGGCCGTACCTTTGCAGGGGGAGCCTAACAGTAAGTGAGATTGTACTTTTTTTTATTATACCTGAATCACAATCTCCGTTTTAAACACTCAAATGCGTGCGAAAAAAGGCAATTAAAACACACGTGGTTTAAAGTTGCTAAGTAATGATACTTCAAGGATGACTTTTGAAACTGTCATCTGGGTGAAATAAAAAATCCTCTTAGGTCGCTACATGTAAATGCAAAACATTTCTTTAGCTTGTACCTATTCTTTGGTCGAAGCTTTCATAAACGCGCGTAATTTACGGTATGCTTCCAAACCTGTTCCACTTTTTAATCGCAGCATTGTTTGAAGTTTTGAATGAATGCACCAAAAGATAGAAGATTTAAACACCTCTGACATTTCCTTCATATATGCCAGCATTATCGATGCATTTAAGACTTTATTCGTAAGTAACTTCCTATTCATCCATGGAAACAACTTTTCATATTCTTTATAATAGGATTTACTGATGGATTTGGATTTTACACCTACCAATGTTTGTTTAAATTTTACAACAAGCGATTTAATGGACGGTGTATTGTCTTTTTCAACGGAAATCGTTTTATTCACAAAAACGATGATTTTTTAAGCAAACGTCGTGACATTTCTATGGCAATCGTGAAATTACAAACACCCAGCCCACTTAATTAGACATGTATTCGAGTATAACGTCAATATGATTTCATTGTATTTCCTATTTTTAAATGATTCTGCAGGTATAATAAAAAATACTATAAGATACACGTGTATAATTGGTCTTTAAAGCACTTGCAACGTTAAAGGCACTCCTCTTCGCGCCGTGCCATTAAACTCGTTGCGCGTGCTTTAGCCTTGATTATACACTTGTATCTTAATATACTATTTATTTAAGTATATATACAGTTTGAGACGAATGTAAGTGATCTTGTACTACAATGCATGAAAATATACTATTACTATTTTGTAGCGAATGTACTAGTTGTTGTTTTTATCAGACTTAATAACTGTTACTGTCCACTGTCAACTCAAATAGGCGTTGATTCATGTCTATATTCAACACTTTGGTAGTGATCTAAAACGTTTAATCGATTTGCGTTAAACTCTTTTGAATAATTTGGCCTTTGATCTAGCTATGTCTGGGGCGTGAAGTCAGCATTGCAAATCAAGCTTAAAAAATAACACTAATCCATTACGTTTCATTGTCCATAGGTCCACTAGTTCGTGGGAAACGAGCCATTTCCTGTAAAGCAGCTTCTGCGTGGCCAAACAATCCGGCCTCCTACAACGAAGCTTGTAATGTACATTGCGTTTTGGGTGGAAATCGGAGAGGTGTATGTGCCAGTGGCACATGCGTCTGTTTGGATTAATGCAAATTAGGATTTGCCATAAATTTAATGTGAAAGCAACAATAATAATATTATACCAATAATATGAAAATAATTTTCCTATACCTCATTATTGTCTCCAAGGCTTTTCCAAGCTCCTCAGGAGGATTTAATTGTATCAAACCCATAATTACATGAACCATATCAACGCGACCCACAAGTATTGTATGGCGCCAGCAAGATTTGTTTCAAAAATGTTGACTTCGAGAGAATTATATCTCTTATTTTGAGGTTGAAAGAATGTGTTATTCAGTTATCAATTTCAGATGCCTCAACCCTTTTTACTAACTTGTATTTTTCTTGAAGCGTGTTTATGAATAAGAATCGTTGTTCTATTTTATTTTCCTTGAGGCGAAGAAATTCAACAAGAGGTGGCCAAGGTAACACAAAACAGGAAATAATGGATTCCATTCCTAAAAACAAAAAAGTATTGCAAAACGAGAAACTAGATGAACTCAGCTTATATGTAGTCTCACTACCTTTCTACATGAAAAATATGCACACATTTAAATGCTTATTATTCCTAAACAGTCTAAAGCAGTTATATGCTGTTCAGAAAAACACATGACAGTGGCAGTAAGACTTTTCCTATCTCCTGTTACTTTATCAGACTCCTGTCAAAACTAATACATTATAGTTATTAATGATACAAGATCGATATGAACATTATAATGAAGCGCGTGTAACGTGAAAATCACGAGGCGGAGTGGACCGTCACCGTTCCGTCGCCGTTACGTCACCGTACCGTCAACGAAACGTCAAATATCTTTACAATGAAACCTATAGACATATTCAGACTACACCGTTACGTCACGGTCAAGATTTGTCAACGAGAATATTTTACGTTACGTTACGGGTTTAGATTAAATTTGGAATTATACGCACGTTCTATAAATCTATATGAACGTTGTTAGGTACAAATGAACAAAGTTAATCATAATTAATCATGAAACATGTATCAGGATTGTTAAAGGGATCGAATAAACACTACACGATTTGCATGATTTAACACAAATAAAATTTATTCTACACACACAAATGAAAGTAGGTAAACATAAAGTCCATTTTTCGGTTCCAAATCCCAATAAAAATCCGGGCACACAGAAACTAACGCACTTAACCAAAACGTAACGCACTAAACGTGCTCTTAGTAAATTCTTTTCCAAATAGGGTGCAGAAGCGTTGATTGTATTCCAAATTTGAATTAACTGGTTGAACGCAAACACTTAGCCGATGAATCGATGGCTGTCCGTTTAACATGGATGACAACTTCAATGAAAACTGCCATCCCAAACTGTACGTACGATTTCTTCAAAACTTTAGCTCGAACTTGGCTGGACTCTTGGTTACCACGTATTGAATTCTCTTTGACGATCAACAAAATTCTGTACACGACGAAAGGCAAAGACTTTGCCACCAAAATGCTTCTTATAACGAACCGCATTTCGCCCTGGAAATTGGCAAAATGCTTCTTCTAACAAACCGCAAACTCAAGTACGTAAAAGTGTGTTCCTTCCTTAAACAAATCGAAATTTAATCTAATTACCTGAGTGTGGCAACTCGAGAAACTAATCAAAGCTTCGATACAGGACACTTCTTCAGCCACGTAGGCAGATTTTACGCGGAATTATCTTATCTAAAATACACAATTTTCTACGAAAACAAACAGTCGTTTTTTTCCGATTAAAATGCATCTTATCTCTAGATAATTACATCAACGCTTTACAAAAGTAAACGAAGTGCGCAATAAATTAAATCTGAACTGACACAAAAAAAAATGATTTAACAGAACAAATTTACAACGAAAATGAGATAAAATTTCCTTTCGTATATTGCTATAGACTGCCAGTGAAACGTTTTTGACGTTGACATTTGTCGGAACCGATGTGCGGTCGCGTTAAAAATAGGAGGTGCACATCCTGGATAGACATACTACAACATAGCGAAAACAGATTTGCAAAAAGTGAATGCGTTTTCCTGTAATCGCGAACATGAACGAGCGGCCGTTTGAGATGATAAAATGATCATACTCATAAATTAATTAAAAAAATCTACGACCGCTTCGTATCAATTCAGCTATAAGTAACATATAACAGTGACTACAACATTAAATTTTGTATAAAATGGTACAAACAGATACCATACCGTCCATCTGCGAATGCGCGATTTTGCCCAAGGGCTTTTCAGCTTTTCGTCTTTGTTTTATTATCTCAATTTTTTATCTCAATGCAGTACCTCCCTTACTAACTTGCGGATGGAAAAAATATGCAAGATGTTTCATTTAGACAAATCGGGAAAAATGTGCTTACTATCTTTAAAAATTACATCCTGTGTATGACAAGAGAAGGATATTGAAACTTCGGGCATAATCACCTGTATTTTTGTGTATGAAGTGATTTTTCATTCGAGAACTTCCCAAAAAACCTTGTGTGTGTTCTTGAAGCTACCGATTGAATAACGCTACGATTTGGGAAATAAGTAATAATGAACGTTGAGTGCCATAGAACTTAGAAGTAGGAAAAGTATACAAGATGTGCCACCTAAACGCATTGATGACGCCACAACACCAAATGGCGTGTAGATAAAATGATGCGTGTAATATTTCTTTAAGCAGTAACTTTTATTTGAAATCTCTTGAACCATTAAATTAAACAACGAAATCTTATGTACTAATACTTAAACCAACAAATATTATTTCGAAAATCAATTAAGTACATTTGCAAAATTTGCCGGAACAGGTGCCCCCTTTTTTGCCATTTAATATGCAATGTGCTTTGCATGCACCATTGTATGATTTCGGATCATTAGGTTTGGACGATACAGCTTTGCAGGAAGTTTCGCGTTTTGCTCGCACCATCAACCCTGTAAAGAACACAAAACGTTACCAACGGCCATTAATGTGAAAATAGTGATAGTACCTGCGTCATCTGCTGGAGCAGCAAACACAAAGGCGAACATTACCGATAAAATTAACGCAAGAACTAAGATTTGGATCTTCATGATGTTGTTGCAACGTTGAACTGATTTGATATTGTAGGACTCCCTTTATATATCACAAGTAAATAAGCATATCAGGAAAAAAATCCCCTGCAATGACCAAAATAACCGATATGGGAAATCAATTTGATTCATTGTTTGATAATAGAGATATTTTTTCATTGTTCTTTATCTGTTTCAGACAATCCCAAATTGTCAAAAATTTCAATGAAATTTACTTTTGCATAACTGTGATTAATATTAGGTACTCATGAGTACATTACACTGTTTTCAAGATAAGACGGTCACTTTAATATTTCTTTTATTTGGTGAGATACGAAAAATTTGTCTAATATAACTGTATATGTGACATTACGATCTATCCGATCGCATATTGACACTTCCGGTAACACCAGAATTTGAGACTTTTGTTTTTCAAATACAGTCACTATGTTATCTTCGATATTGGAAAAGAACAATCCGTTTGCTGAGTATCCGTGTTACCTGTGTATCCTGCCAGCACAGGGCGTGATAGATTTTATAAGTTTTCAATCACGAATTTTTCCATTTTTGTTATATATCAACCATAATATGCTTATTTTATGTTGTCGTACAGCAAATTGATTGCTATATTCAAAGATCTTAAAAAACATAGTCATTGCTTTTGAAAAACAAAAGTTGCTTCCAATTCCGGTTAAATCGGTAGTGATACCCGAAGTTTTAATATGCTATTGGATAGATGTCACATGTCACCTATAATAGTATATTAAGAAACAAGTGTATAATCAAGCGTACAAACAAACATTAAACGTTGCAAGTCCTTTAAAGACCAATTATATACGTGTATCTATAGTATTTTTTATTATACCTGCAATATAATTTAAAATTAAGATGGAATAAAGTGGATTAATAGGAAGCATCTTTCAAACAAGGTCTTAAATGCATCGTTCATGCTGTCATATATGAACGAAATGTCAAAGGTAGAAATTTAAATCTTCTATCCTTCGATGCATTCATTCAAAACTGCAATCAATATTGCGATTGGAAAGTGGAACAGATTTGGCAGCATACCTACTCTAAACCACGTGCGTTTGTGAAAGGTTCCCACAAAGGACACGGGCCAAAGACACCTTTTCCATTTTCAAAAAGCGATCCGAGAGGATATTTTATTTCAATCTTAAATTACAAACATAGTTTCATATGTCATATTTGAAGTAACGTTACTTAACAACCTTTAAAGCTCGGCGTGTTTTAATCGCCTTTTTACGCACGCTTAGGCGTGTTGTAAACAGCGATTCTGACGCAGGTATAATAAAATAGTATATTTCATTAGGAGTCCGGAAAGCAGGCTTTTTCCGTGCGCGCGTGGCGAATTCCCGTGTGAGGCGTAGCGTATCATTTATTAAAAAAATATACAGACTTCACGGAATAAACTCCCGTGGGTCGACTTCTTCCGGAATACTAAATTGACCTTAAGCCTAAATATTTTTCACTCGCCCAATCCTACACCTTCCACGCTCCAGTAGACTATATTGTGGCGTTTCCACTCTTATCTGTTTCCCACTAGCTTCTTATCTTAACGCGCTTTATGTTTTCGATATTAGTTCTGTTCTCATTCATTTTGAAACGGTACATGTTGCGTCCCCAAACTAGAATAAAATATCCTTTCGTTTTTCCTTTAATGAAAATACCCTGTACATGACCGTTTTGCCTTGCCTGTATATATTCCTATTTGTTACGTGTGCGCGCATGAGCCGCAGAAGCGCAATATGTGTACTCGTCGCGCAGAATTCGTCCCATTCTTCGCTTAGAAGCCATCGACTCAACTACGTTGAGAAGTCGCCGTTAATCAATGGCCGATTAGCCTTCGTCGTTCGCATATAGATCTCGATCGATCCACAACGAGTCAAGATGTCGCCGTGCAGTTCGCAACATCGTTATTAACAAGCAGAACGTCAAAGCACCGCACATCAATAAGAAGATTTCGTTGTAACAAAATCGACAAATTCGACAACTTCGTAGAATAGAGCAATCTTCGCCATTGCAACATCGCCTTCGTTGTTAATGGACTTCGAAACAACACGTAAGT